CCCAAAAAAAAACCCCCCTTTTTTGTTTACCACATAAAAAAAAAGTCCTAAAGAAAAAAAAAAAAAAAAAAAAATCAGGTGGATTGTACATAGTCTCGCACACACACACACACACACGCACACACACACACACACACACACACACACACACACACACACACACACAGCCCTGCATCATGACTTTCAAAGGCTCTGGATCCACTCAGCGATGCCTCTGCGCTCTTTCTCTGCCGCCGCTCTTTCATCATCTTGCCGTCATCTCAAAAGCATCTTAAATGATTATGTTTTAGCTTCTCCCTTTTTGTCTCGCCGTGCTCAATCTTGCCTTCATGTTCACACTCCATTTGTTTTTAAGGCACAAAGGTGGACAGTAAGAGGCCCTTTTTGTTTCAGATTCGCGTCACTTTCGTTGCATAAGCGCCGCTGCTCTCTGCCGCCGTCACTGTAGCTGGCATTTTTTTTTTTTTTTAATTTCCCTCAAAGTAAACAGACAGAAAGACGGGGATTTACCTCGTCTTTATTTTATTTATTTACTTCAAAAGTGTAATTGGAGAAGCGGTAAAGTGTTCTCCTTCGCTTATTAATCCCAAACAATTAATGCGCGTGGCTCCATTAAACGTATTGGCAACTTTCTTAAAGTGAGATTAATTTGGCAGGCAGGAGGCTGAGTGGGCCTTTGTGGGGCTGGTTATCTTTCCTCAGCAGATTGGGCTAAGCTCTCCACAGGCCCGGTGGGATGAAGAGCGTTTGAGTGCGGAGACGGTGTGAAGCAATGTAGGTCATGTGGATGGCGTGAACATCACAAGGGTTTAAGATCGCGCTTCACGATTACCCGTTTAGCAATAATGTTATTCGTTACTCAAGCGCACTCGCGCATTCTGCTGCACCTGCAGCGACTGATCCTGACCAACGGCGTCGTGGATTCTCTGGTTTCAGCTCTCTGTCTGGTCGCATTGTCGGCGGCGTCTGGTGGTTCTTCACCCTGATCATCATCTCGTCCTACACGGCCAACCTGGCCGCCTTCCTGACCGTGGAGAGGATGGTGTCTCCTATAGAGAGCGCCGAGGACCTGGCCAAGCAGACGGAGATCGCCTACGGGACGTTGGATGCCGGTTCGACGAAGGAGTTCTTCAGGGTGAGAAACGTCAAGCTTTCGTACGGTGTTTGCTGAAGTATTGGTGTCTCTCACAACGACAAGCTGCAGTTTGTTTTATGGAGTTTTTAATCTGACGGACCAACGTCAGTAGTTTGCAGTAGTTTGTGATCTTGCTTATGCAAAAGTACGACTGTCTTCATCTTCTAAGCAGTTCTAACCACCTTCCCTGGCCCTAATGATGAACAGCGTCCTCATAGCAACATGTGGCAACTAACATGTTTAATTAGGGATAGTTCAATCTGGGTGTGTTATTGTGTTATTTCTCTGACGCAGCATTTTTGCATATGAGCCAAAATGTTCAGTTGTCGTCTCATGTTCCACGTTTAGTTTGTCCCCTTCACGCATTGTGGCAAACTGCAAATGTTGTGTTTTTTCTTTCTGAAACTGCCTTTCTTCCTGCTACTCTTCTTTTAAAACCAGAAGAGAAACTTGAAAACATTCAACTGACACTCTCTCTAATTTTTGCTCTCTGCTCTCTTGTTTAAACTTTTGCCCCTCAGAGGTCAAAGATCGCCGTGTTTGAGAAGATGTGGTCCTACATGAAGTCGGCGGACCCGTCGGTGTTTGTCAAAACGACGGACGAGGGAGTGATGCGGGTCAGGAAATCCAAAGGCAAGTACGCCTACCTGCTGGAGTCCACGATGAACGAGTACATAGAGCAGAGGAAGCCATGCGACACGATGAAGGTGGGAGGAAACCTGGACTCAAAAGGTTATGGGATTGCCACGCCCAAGCGCTCCCCTCTAAGGTAAAACCCCGCCGTTGCAATATGGTCAGAAAAAAAAAGCCTTAAAGTTCTTTTATTGCTGTGTTTGTGCATGAACGTCCCATTTCATCTGTCGATTCCTTCATGTGGCAGACATTTCACATCTGTTTGTGCATGAAACTAAACTTGTTTCATCCATTTTGATTCATTCAAACGGTACTGGGAGAAGGTCTGGACTTATATTAACTCTAAGGAATTAGAATAGAGTGTCATTTTATAGCGGTGTTGAAAATATCTCCTCATGAGAAGAAATAACGATTTTTATTGGCCTCAGCAAAACAAGCTGAGATGAAAATTTATCTACCTTATAGCAAAAGTTAAGAATCCTCATTTTGCCATAAATTACCTAAATCTTTCACAAATCAAAACATCTGTTTGAAACAATCTTCAATCAGTGTAGAAGATTGCAGCATGGACTAGTGTTGTAATCTCATAATTATCTAACTCTAAAGTCCTTATTCACGCACCACACATTGTCTACAGGCACATCTCAAAAATTTATAATATCCTGCAGAAGTTTAAGATTTGTGTAACTCGTTTCAAAACGTGGAACTCGTATAGCCCATAGAATCACAACAGAGCGAAATATGTCACACTGTATCTTCTTCCAGCTTTCATGATCAGGGCTTACAGATGACGAAACCCTAAAAAATTAATGTCTCAGAAAAAAATAGACTTTTGGAAACTCACGGTGTCGCATCCTAATCAGCTAATGAACTCAAAACACTTGCAAAGGTTTCCCGGGCCTCTTCTTGGTCTCTCAGTCTGGGTCAGTAGGCGACACGATCATGGAGAAGGCTGCTGACTCGACAGATGTCCGGAAGGCGGTCGTTGACACCTTCCGCAAGGAGGGCACGCCACGAAAGGTCGTAGCTAAAGATGCTGGATGTTCACAGAGTGATGTGTCCCAGCACATTCAGTGGCAGGAGAAAGAGTGACAGGAGAAGGTGCACAGGCAGCTTTGAGAGAACTGCCAAGTAAATTCCTTCAAAAATTTTGGACGAACTTCATCAGGAGCAGAATGAGGCTGGAGTCGGCATATCAAGAGCCACTGTGCACAGACAAATCTTACAGGGGGGCTTCAAATGCCACATTCCTCATGTCAATCCACTTCTGAATAGGAAACCTTTTCCAATACAAGTAAAGTTTCATTTAATTTTACATGAATATGAATTATGTTGGCAGCAATCGCATAGAGCATTGTCTGAAACGATATTTCAGTGAGACGTCTCAGGGTGTTAACATCATGAGATCTTGTACCATTTTTGTTCCTACGTTCACTCCTCGGATGCAAAAGGAAACGTGAAGAGCAGACTCTGTCGCAGCAAGCAATACATTAAATATTTGCACGATGAATTTAAAAAGAGCTGGATAATTAAAAAGCATGTCGATAATTTCCAGTTGCGTGCGTGTTTGTTTTTGTCGTAGCTCTCTCTCTTTCTACCGAAGAGACTGGACGACACCCCGGTGCGTCGAGTCACTTCTCCCGTCGTCGTTCCTCCAGAATAATACAGGGGAGCGACGAACGGAGAAGCGTCAGTTTTACGCCGCTCGGGGTGAACCCAATGGCGACGATGGCGTCAAAAGTTTACATTTTTGTCAACTTTCTTTCGTCGCATGGCTGGCCCGCGTGTGCGCGTCTCTTCGTGCGTGAGCTTGACATTTCCTGTGCATGAAGTTTGCCGGTCTCCACGCAAGTTCTATAGGTAATGAATGCAGAGGGAGCGACGCTGCCTTCTGTGTATCGAGCCCATGAGGAGGAGGGAAGTCGCCTCTACCAGGCTCATGGTCGCCTGACACAGAACCGTGAGCCATGAAAGCCCAATGAGGAGGAGCGAGCCGGAGAAACGCTGCTTCAAAAGCCGAACATGACAGCTGCAGTCTGGGAGCGCTCTGGATTCAGACCAAACGACTGTGGTGAACCACGTGACCCGCGAGAGCCGCGATGTCGCATTTATTACAGAAACTGTCTCTTTGTTGTCAAACAGCAGCAGCTAAACGCAAGAAGACCGCAAACATTTATCTGCACCTGAAACGTAATCGGCCACTGCAGTTTCCCCTGCTTGGAAGATAAAATTTACAACCTAATGCGGCGTCTCCGTCTAACGCGGTATTCTGTCGACAAACAAAATAGAAAAAGGCCCGTGCAAAATGATGCGCAGCAGGACAATTTAATAGCTGAACAAATGCTGCCCTTTCATCTCCTTGAAAAGCCAGCATTTCGAAAAAAAAAAAATTCAAACATTTGACACCAGTGCAGAGCAAGTTTTCGCAGGCAGCATTCCCAACGATTAATATACTTTGAAGGGCAAGTTTGTTTACAGAAACTTCACAATCCATTTCTATTTGTTTATTTATTTTGGATGTTTAAAATGCCTTCGAGCTCCAGTGTTTAAATGCTCTTTAGAAATTAATTTATTGATCTTTGAGAGGATGTACTTGTGTCACTGTGCCCATTTTTATGCTACCGGTTAGCAACGGCCTCAAATTACATTTTTATCATTTATCTCAGTAATTTGTGACAATTAATTGCCCATCAAACTTTGTTATTGTGTCAGAGAAGCTTGAAAACCTTTCCAAAAGTACTGTTCATCTGCTTTTTGTTTTTTTGTTTTGTTTTTTCTGTTGGCATGTGCACCATTTATGATCAAATTAAGTCTTTCATTCTTGTGTTGTATCGTTCACAACCATGAAATTATGTTTTCACATTTTTTTTTGTTTTGTTTATCAAATGAACGTATTTGTAGAGTTAGCTCATACAGTCTCTACCTTTTGTGTTTGCATGTTCTCGTAATAAAGCAAATCTATTTAAGCAAACTTGTGAAAACAAACAGAAGTGCAAAGTAGGACAAGAAGATGTGGATTCCTGTTTGACCCTCCGTTTGGTTAACTCCAAGGCTTTTTTTTTTTTTTTTGACGAATTGATTCACAGAGGCTAAAAGTCAACTAAAGCGTCACAATTCTGTGCAGCAGAACTCGTGAGAGAAAAAAAAAAGCAATAAAAGTAAAGGAATCTACATCCCAACATGGCTACTTTCCCACTTGAGCTGGAGCTCACACCTTGAATGTTCCACTTCTTCCCCATTCGATGTGACAAATGATGTAACGAATGATGATTCTTTCTGGGTTTGCTCCCGCCGTCGACAAGCGGCAGCTGTCATTTCACATCGCATTAACATTCTAACCGACTTCCCATTTATATCGCTTCTGCAACCACAGAGAGAGAGAGAGTGCAAATGCTGGGTGGCATCTGAAGCTTTTAATCTGTCTCTAATAGGCCTCATTCATTTTAATGAAGGGAGCCATACTGGAAGATTTTATTCAATCACTGCCGGGGTTTCTTTGGGACCTGGGTTGACAGCCAGAGGTCAGAATGCAGACAGGAAATGGTTCTTGAGCCTTCCTCAGATGTTCCTCCTTTTATTTTTTTTTTTTAATTTATGCAAATCACATTTTATACATTAAGTAAAGTGTTGCATTAGTCTAAGCTATAAATGGTGGGTGGTGAAAATAAGCTGTTCCAGTACCCACATCTGGCACTCGATAGCCGAGGATGTACCGGCGTACCTCCCGCTCTGTGGCCAACCCTAAGTGAGCCGTGTTTGTTGTTGTCGGGTTTCTGTCGCCGTCATTCACAAACGTCTCGCGCCCGAGATTCGATAACGGCTAATAAATTTGCATCGCTAATAAATGACATTGAAATGCGCCCGTCTTGATTTAAGTTCCCAGCTCTCGTGCGCGATTAGACGTAAGTGAATGACCAAGCGCCGCTCAGAGTTGGATTCAGTCACACCTGCAATGAGCCGTCGGCAAAACAAATGTCGTTTGGACTGCTGCATGTCCAATGATTCCACCCTTATCTGTGTTCAGAAACAGGAAAACAATTTCACTTATTCACATTTGAGTGATGTCGACTGCGCTGCAGTGCAGGTTTGATTGAAAAGTTTTCATTTTACAGGAATATCTTCAAATGACTCTTTTTTTTTTCCTGATCAATCATTCTAATGCATTTCTTACATGTGCAACATCCACCCGTCCCCAGCAGAGTTTTACCCCCCGTCTCTCTGATGTTCTGTAGCCTTTCTGACATCTGCTCACCTCAGAGCAGCAGACCAAACTAACCAATGACCCGCTGAGCCATCCGTGTTCACAGTCTTTGACTTCTTTCTTTTTTTTCTTTGGTCTGAGTTCGCTGGGCTGAGAAAGAAGTCAGAAAGAGGTTTTACTAGCCCTGAGGAAAAAAAAAAGAGAGAAACGTGTTCCCTACAGCTGTGTTGTGAACTCAAGGCCAGGGGATAAAGACTCCTCTGTTTCTGCTGCTGAGAAAGGCTGAATATTAAACCAAACCTCGCCGCGGAGAAAAAGGCGGTCTTGACTTCTGGTCATAGATTCCGCCTCTTCCGTGTAACGGGAATGGAGAGAGTCTTTGTCCACGGCCAAACAGCTACAGGAAACGCACTCGTGCACTTAATCCAGAGAGGACAAGAGTGAGCTTTAAGGAGATGCCTTCTGTGAGTTCACCTGCACATGGAAGTGTTATTCTTTTTATGCTTGTTAATGCTTTAAACGTATCTGCAGACTAAGACAAAGCCTTTGGCTGCATGCAAAGATCCCCAGGCCGGGATTTGAACCCAGGACCTTCTTACTAAATTTTTCAGAAATCCTGAACTGTATATTCAATGTAAAAGTAATATTGGACAAATGTTCTTTGTTAATCCAACACTGATTTTTGCTGGCCGACTTCGTCAACAGAAGCTTAAGGACTACTACTGCAAGAAATATCAAAGCTTCAACACTTCAATGGGGGATTCAAGGTCGGTGTGACCATCTTTGTACGGCTTGTGAAAGAACAGAAACGGCAAAAGGGTGGTTGAAGCCAACCTGTGGCCGTTGTACCTCTGACTTCCCAAGCGATTTAATCACAGTCCTGTTTCAGCCGACTTGTGCAATCGGTAAACCAGCGTTTTCGCTTGCGTGTGCGATTTGGCAATTACAGAGGACCTAGGCAACCAGCTGGCCTGTGAATTTAAATCAAAGGTAATTTTATGTAATCCCTTTTGTTATTGATGGACATAATTTCTTGCCATTAACATCAATACGCATATTGAATTGCCGCAAGACAGAACAACTCCCTAGACATCAGGTCTCTTGGCACCGGTGCCACTTGAAGACCGAACGCACAAAAACAGACACAAATATGATGAGCAACGTATCGATCCCACTCATTACCGATCTTTGGTTTTGTCAATGCCAGCTTGTTATTTAAAGCCCACATGAGTGACGGATGTTTCAAGCTTGATTTGAAATTTGCCGCAGGCACCTGAGAGACGGTTCTGTCTTTGTGGCGGTTTCTTTGTCAAAGAGGCCAAGTTGACAACACTTTGTTCACTAACTCTGTCAACAAAACAATCGCTTTTCTTTCTTTATTCTTAACCAGGTTCTCAAACTCTGATCAAGGTTACTTCATCAAATAAAATGATCTGGTTACAGAAGCTGAATAGCACAAAGTCCAAGACAGACTTTGCTCAACAATATTGAGGCAGGTTATTGTTGCAACAACATCTTGTGGGAAGATACTACATTAGTACACCTCCCATCAATATACTGTATTAGTTACCATATTAAAAGTAATTAACTTAATCACCCAAGGCATCTCAGTTTAGCACTCTATCTCTCTCTTTCTCTCTCTCTCTCTGAGGCCCCTGCTTGGTAAAACCTGGTACATCTCAGCTGCATTTCATTGCATGTATCTAACAAAACATGCACATTGAAAACCAGGGCTCCTGGTCCGCATCAAGTTAGCTACATTCAGGAGAATCCCTTGCTTTCAAGTCAATGTTGTCACAATTTGCACCACGTGACCGACCTCTTTATATCTGTCTCCTAACGGTTATCGTTTCATATCATTTTCAAGAAACCCAGTAAACCTGGCAGTGTTAAAACTGAACGAGCAGGGCCTCTTGGACAAATTGAAAAACAAGTGGTGGTACGACAAAGGAGAGTGCGGCAGCGGGGGAGGGGACTCCAAGGTCAGAGCCAGTTTTCATGAACCCTGTGTGTGTAACGGGGTGGAGATGGTGGTAACCGGCAGCTCGACGCCACATCGCCTCTCTGGCAACACCTTTTTTTTTTTTTTTTTTTTATCCGTAAGATTTAGGAAAGTGTAATTGCAAAGAGCCAAACTTTTGAGATATAAATTTGAAATCCAGAGAGCTGAATATGTGAACCGTGAAACTTTATTAGTAATTGAAGCAGCTAAGGGAAGCACAATCTGTTGTTTGATGCTGCAAAAGATTTATTTAAGATGACAGTGTTGCCCGAGTGCGGGTAAGCAGAGTGCCGGTTACCCGAAGTGATATAGTAATACACATCTACTGCCTTACAGAGTGAGCCAGTCAAGCTAGATGGAGTATTAATGCATATCACTTTGACTCGAATGTTAATAATGACGTTTAATGCCTTGTATTTGTGTGTTTGTGTGTGATGTTTTGTTTTTTTCTTTGTCGTCAAGCGAGCGAGACCAAGCGTTGATTGCTGTGTGGATGTACTTGTTGCTCTGTGTTTCTGAATTAACATAAAATAACATGACGTAATATGTTATTTATGTTATTTCCCTATTGTTGGAAGAATCCCAGTAAACCTAGCGGTGTTGAAACTCAATGAGCAAAGCCGTCTTAGACAAACTGAAAAACAAATGGTGGTACGATAAAGGCGAGTGTGGCAGCAACGACGCCGCGAGAAAGGTTAGTCTCAATGCAAAACAAGCTGACACCTCACTGCGCCTCCCAACCCTAACCCTACTTTGTTCCTAGACCAGACCGTACCCTTCAAAAAAATAAATAAATTAAAAAGAAATCAGCTTTCAACCTCAACCGCACACAGTTATCCTCCCCATGTGGCTTTGGCAGAACCGCACTGGAGCACACATCAGGCAGCAGTACAAAGATTACTTCTCTTTTTTTCTTTTCTAAGAAAAGTTGGAACACCTAACTTAGAAATACATTGCTTCTCTATTCACTATCTACGTTTTCACTTTAGGATTTATACGCGGCAAAACATACCGAATTATGCAAAGTCAGTGCATTAGTCTTCAAAATCGTAGTTTGGTTGATTCAGTTTAGTGTAAGCTTCAATCAGCAGGAGCCATTTTAAAACTGTACAAATCAAAAATCATTTCCTCTGGCCCGAGAGAAATCGCTGCACTTTTCCCTCACTTTTCTACGCTTTCAGGACTCGCACATCAAAGGCAGACACGCGTGACTTGCATTTAATTTTTCAGCACACTTTCAAAAGGTCACCGCTTTGGTGGCTCGAAACATTTCAGCCGTAGCACAAACTTTGATTCTGCAGAAAAAACACTAAGTACTGTAAACTATGTGTGATGCATACAGCGACTTCCACGCTTATTGGCATGTATAAAAACTATTTCACTGCAGTGCCATGCATCTTTAGTCAAATCAGTGCTGCAACAAATACTGAGTTCAACGCTGAAGGGCGGGTCAGGCTAAAAATAATTTGATTCCAGTCACCAGCAATTTTTTGGTGGTTCTCAACTTTTTTTTTTTTTTTTTTTTTGTTTATAAAAAGGCCAAGGAAGTTTTAACCACTTATACACGACTTCCTGTTTCTCCTGCTGCATACACCTAGAGACGTCTTTGACCTCTGCATGCAGATTTTAGCGTCTGGAGGGGAAGGTGTGTCACAGAAGGAGAGTGATGAGACTGAGACTGTTTTTCTAATTTCTGAGTTAAAGTGTGAGGCCAGATTTTGTCACAGCTCATATTTTTAACTAATGTGAAAAAACTAACAGCTACTAACTAAATCCAAGCTGTTCATGCCCATCCTTTTATTTTTCTACAATTAAAGTCGGAGGGGGGAAAAAAAGTTAATTGTTTGGTTTAGTCTAATGCCAGGAGTCGTTTTCATTGTAGCACAAATCAGCTAATTTGTCAGGAAGTGCCCCTAGACGCACAACCTCCTGTGAATTTCAAAATTACCACTGTCAACTCAGCAAAATCCGTGTTATGCTGCGTTTTTTTTTTGTTCTATCTTAGCAGGAAATTTCATATGCTAAATATTGCTTTGATAGCAAAATTTGTTTAAAATTTAGCAGTGCTACTTTGACTTAAAACGTCTAAGAAAAAACGTAGTCACGTAGGCGGATTATTTAGGATTGTGAAATTGATATAAACAACATTTACAATACACCTAAAGTCCACCCGTAGAAAACAACACACCCAACCTCCTACAGCCCTAAGCATGCAAAGCAAAAGTAGCATTAGAATAATCTGAACATCCCTTATGAAAAGGAAACAAAGAGGCACATGAGATAAAAAAACAAAAAAAAAAAAAAAAAAAATCAGGCTCCCATCCACTTGCTGAGTTCATTGAGTTGTAATCTCTGTACTCTGGCCTTTAAAATAAATCCCACCCTAATTCTCCCAGCGTAGAGTGTGCACACTGCAACGCAGAGCTCCAGTCGACTTGCATGCGCCAGCAGTCTGTGTTATCGACTGACTTGAGAAGCAGTTCTCCCTGACAGTGAAGCTGTGGCTTTTTAATTCAGATTTCCTTCCATATGTTCCTCCATGTGGATCTTTGATCCTGCTGAAATTAGCCGCCTTACGCTGATTGACAGCTTAGTGCAGGGGTGCTAAACCTCGTGGCGAAGGAGGGCGAAGTCTCTCGGGAAGATATTACAATGCGAGGTAAATCCAATAACGCCCTAAATGCAGCTGCACAAATGGGCTCTCTGCACGGGAGATAGCATTATGGAAATGATTGTAGCTATTTACATAAAACAAGCTCCTATTATAGTATAGACACATGTCCAGTAGGTGGTCTGTTATAAAGACTAAATGGAGAAACCAAGTGTCTATTAAGTTTGCACAAACCTTTCTTTTCTTTTAGGTAAGTTGTGACAAAAAGCCTCAAACGATTTGATAAAAAATAAAAAGCCGTGGCGTCGTGAAAAAATTCCTTAATGGACCGATGAACCTTCAGTTTCTCCACTCCGTCAGATTTGTCGTTTTCTCGTCAGTCGTGCCTGTCGCATTCCTGAACATGAACCTTAACGACCTGGTTCAAACAAAGCCGCCATTTTTAAAAGCGCCGGTGTTCTGAGCGACTTACAAACTGAACGGTAGACATGTTTATGATTTGATCACTTACTAATGTCTAAAGAAATCCCCCCCTTAAAATCACACACCGTACATGTCTCTTTGTGCATATGTCATTGAAAACATTTTTTTTTATCTTTGCTTTTCTTATTTATTTTAGAAATTCATAGAATAGAATAGAATAGAATAGAATAGAATAGAAGAACTTAACTGGAAGCAAGACTAAATATATACAAATATATATAAAGGAGTAAAAAAAAACCCGCTCTCATTTAACAAATCTTTTTCACAAAGCGCTTTATAAATAAACCTTACTGACTTTACTTACTTACTTCCCTCCTTAAAATGTGACTTAATAGCATAGGGTAGTATAAAATTGCTGGCAAGCTAATTTCATTAACTAGAGTAACTTTGTAAGCAAAATTCTCCAATAAAACAAGAAAGACATTTTCCTACATTGTTTACGTCTCTCCTGTCTTTTATAATCCCACACCACGTAGCCCAGGCTTCTACATATGCAACATTTATACGTCTAGTTTCCATCCAGTTACGGGAAAAGCAGTTATTTACCCACAGACAAGTAAAAGCTTTTCATTAGTTGCTTTCATTCTTCTTCAGTTGCTGTTAATTGTTCTTCCTGTTAATGGAAAAGCTTTTACACGCGCGCCGCTTCTTAAACGTTTCTCTGAATTTGTATTCTAAAGAGGCGCGGTTCGAGGAAGCTCTTAGTTTCCGGCCGCCTGATAAAAAAGTAAATTTACCTCGAAGGGGAGACTTTCAGTCACACAAATTGTGACCAAATATTAAGAAAGGGAAAAGTGTACAAGCTGTGTGGATGTGAAACTGAGTTTTTGTTGATTAAATTGTACTACACTTTAGGAAATTTCACAATTAAAGGACAGAGATTCATGGAACCCATGACTCTAGCCTCAAATACTGTGTGTATTTATAAGTGTTAACATGATTGGTAAGACAAAAAACAAAAACAATATTGGAGGTGGTTTAAATGACACTAAAGCATGGATTTGAATACTTAGTAGTACAAATTATCTGTACATTAGGTTTCCTAAACAATTTTTAATTTGTGGTAATCTGGTGATGCGACCAAGTATTTATCATACATATAGGTGATATAAAAACCAAAATTTTTAGCAATAAAAACACGCAGCTGGTCTTATTGTCTTTATCTGGTACCTGAGGCCTGTCTCACATTGTCTCTGGCCACTGTTATTGGCTCCCTTGGTGAAAATGTCTGCAAAAAACTCTGTGACCCCCAAGATGCTAAACAACAAACATTGAGGTACCTTCAATGGCACAGTCTAAAGTAATGCAAAATGAAAGCATCTACATTTAAAATTAAGCATGAAACTGCAGATGTTTAGCAGTACAATACACGCGGCTTCTCGAGACAGATTTAGATCTCATGAAGTCAAAGGTGGATGGCAGCTTAGCTGGAAAATTAGACGCCATAAAGTAATTTGGATTCTGCGTCATATTAACCTGGCAAAGAGCCGACTCCTCTATGGGAATTAAATCTTTGTCGGCTCTTTTCGTTACGAAATAAACTTTGCAAGTTTATATAAAACTAAACAATCCATCCAACTGGTCCAGACGCTTTGCTTCTGCTCATGTCGATACGGGAGACTCGCAACTAAACAAGCTATACAAAGAAAAGGACCAGAATTAAAGTTGGATAAATCCTTCCTGGGTGATTTATGATTCCTTCCTTTTATTTTTTAATTAATATCTGCTCAACTGCACCACTCAGACAGGATATGTCATATTTATTACTCGAGCATTATCTGTTCCCCTTGTACTCTCCGTTCCCGCGATGACGGGAACGGAGTATAGACATCAGCAGCCGCTGAAAGCCCTTCGTCGCATTTAGCAGGCAGCGGTACATTTTACTCACGGCTTTCGCATGTACCTGGCGGTTTTGCTGTTTCTGCGAGGGGGAAACTAGCTGGACCGCAGATAATTTCCAGCCAAACTTTCTTTTTTTTTACGGGTGCAGATGGTTGCAAAGCGCCAAACAGTGAGGGGAACATTTTCTTGCTTCCCTAAGGTTCTCTGCCGCCTACTGTTTTGAGAGGGTGCCTAATGATGTATTTTCAGCTGCAAGCCTGGAGAGAGACTCCATCTGCCCTGTTAGTCACCAAGTTCAATTTTAGCTTTTTCTATAAGATCAGAAAACAGCTACAAAAACAGGATATGCACCTACATTGTGAGACAGGCCTCTGCCATGTTTGTATTGATATTGCTTGTCTACAAGAGTCTGATCCTGCAACATTTGTTTGTCTGTGCCTCCCTATTCAGTCCTTTGTGTGTGTGCGTGTGTGTGTGTGTGTGTAGGAGTCTGATTATGTCTTTTGGCTACAGTGCCTTGCAAAAGTATTCATATCCCCTAATTTTTTGTTTGTTTTTTGTTTTGGTTTTTTGACAATATGTCACATTATAAAACGGGAAATGTTATTCCACAGTTTGACAGTTTCAGATATTTAAAACAAAAAACAAAACAGTCAATAAACCATAAATATCGATATTGTCTGATATGAAATGTTTATCATCATAGAAGCAGCACTGAAGGTGTCGATGTTGGAGAAAACTAAGTAAATGCGGTGAAGGTGATTCTACAAAGCATCAATTCAGTTTGAGCTTATAAGAATGATCACACTTTCAAATCTTGCTTAAAACGAATAAACCAGCCACATTTTTGATCTTCTTACGTATTATGCACTACTTTGTGTTGGTCCCCCAAAAATCCAAGGGACGGGTACATTTGCAGGGCACTGTAAGCATGCGTTACGTCGGCGCTTGCTCCCCCGTGTTTGCGCTGTGCACAGTTAGATAAGTGTAAAGTCGAGTCATATTCCACTTTTCTTTCACTCCTCATTCCTGGGCTCCGGCCCCTCTCCCTGCTCCTCCTTCCCCCAGGACAAGACGAGCGCTCTGAGCCTCAGCAATGTGGCAGGAGTCTTCTACATCCTGATCGGAGGCCTGGGCCTGGCCATGCTGGTGGCGCTGGTGGAGTTCTGCTACAAGTCCCGGACCGAGTCGCGCCGAATGAAGGTGTCGACCGCGCGAGCAGCTGCAGCCACAGCCGCTCAGGCCTTTCACTGCTCAGCCTTAGAAAGTGGTGCTAGCGCCCCCTACACAGAGCTGCAGAGCTACGGCCTGTACGCCAACAACACTGTTAAGATATAGAGCACAGCCATGGGGTAGGAAACGCTGTGATCGAACCATGATGATGATGATGATGATAATGATGATGCTGCTGCTGCTGATGATGATGATGCGTCTGCCTCCACCTCGTCCTGCCCATCTAAACGTGACCACAGTAGGGCCGCTCTCGGCTTCCACCGCAGTGCCAACGCTCTCCTGTACCTCTCTCTTCTTCTGCCGCTGCCTTGCTCAGTCTATGTCACTGACCTACTCCAGTGTTTTGTTTTTGTTTCTTTTTTTTGTTTGTTTTTTTATATAATCACTTGATTTCAAAATTGCCCTTATGCCTGTTTCCTTCAGGATCTTAAAGAACATTTTTGGTGCAATCTATTGGAATCGCATGGTCTTAGCATGTGGGTTGTTCCTACTCATTTAGATTCATGTTTCTCACTTTGCCTGCTCATTTTGGTGGGATGGAAAGTGGACACACAAGGCGATAACAACACAAGAGCTTGACTAGATACTAATATGAATAATTCAAAGATCAATAATAAGCCTTAAGCAGAGGGTTAGGTATCAAAAATAAGAGCAAATCACCACAGCAGAGACTGGTTCATTTAAAGAAGTTGTGAATAGTGTTGTGCAAACACATTTCTCCATACCTTAAGTCTAATGTTGTATTTTTTTTTTCCTTTTTATACTGAATTTGAATAACATATAAAGTCAAGAACATTAAGGACAAGCCCGGCTATGCTCTTCATGAGACTGTCTTGCGAAAACAGTGTTTTCAGTCAGAGGCTTCCACGGATTTGCTGCAATACAGACTGCTACAAGAGATCTCACCTGTCAATAGTCAGCACTGTCTACAATAACTCTGAAGAATTTGAATTAATATGAGTTACAGCAACGTTTAATTCTCCTCTGGGATCCATAAAGTATTTCTGAATGTGAATTTGTTCAGAACTTGTAACTGATAAAACAAACGTAAAAAAAAAAAAAAACTAAAAGTATCAGCAAAGACAACCTAATCCCCCAAAAATGTAAATAAATGTATTTATTTGTAAATAATTCACAAATAAATCAGAGATTACTCATGAGTTTTGCATGGGATTATTGATCAGACATAAATGCCACCACACTCTTTTGGACTTATGTCTTTGGCATTAAATATGCGCACACACACACACACACACACACACACACACACACATATATATATATATATATATATATATATATATATATATATATATATATTGTATATGATTATTATGTTAAAAACAGTAAAGTCAGAGATCATTTCTTCTTATTTTGCTCAACAGAAACCAGACTATTTGTGGTTTGTTTTTTTTTACCTCTCCAGTCTGGCTTGTTTAGGTTGAAATATTTTAAAATGTTTGCTCAACACTATGAGATAATTGAAATAAGTTGCTCCAAAAGCTGCACTGAAAGTCCATTAAAAGTGCCAACGTTGCATTAAATTGTCATTATTTACAAAATCATGCAACGTTGGCACTTTTAATGGACTTTTAATGCAACTTTTAAAGCAACTTTGCTTTAAAAGTGTCATTATTTACCAAATGACACTTCATGACAACAGTCATAGACGTTCATAAAGACTTGTTCATGTTCATGACAGATGTTATGTCATGTTTATGACAGTGTTATGTCAGTCTTATTCACACCCTGTCAAATAAAGTGCTACCAATTATTTTTTAATTTTCCTTCACTGAGAAAACTTTCCTAGCGGGGCTCTTGTTAAATCACATCACTGAACTAGTACAATAACCTTTGGCACACTTTTCACCAGTTTCCCTTGCAGCACAGGTATGAAGGCAATTTAAATCACAGTGGTACATCTATCCACTTCTGTCGCTCTGAGCAATTCTCTCCCTCGCTCCTTCTTCTTCTTCTTCTCCTTCGTCTTCTACTTCTTCTTCTTCTTTTTTGCTGACTGTCTCGCAATCGCAGGGCCCATTGTGGTGAACATCGTTTATATGTTTATACCATGAGGTGGTCCTGGTGCGACTCGCATGTCTTCCCATCACTGCTTGAGCCAAAAACAAGTCAGACTGAAACTGTTGAATGTCCAGAGATGTGAAACTGAGGACTTCCTGCTTGTTTCATTTCCTTCTCTGGAAGATGTGAGATGTTTAGCTGTTAGACGCTCCTGCTTCACGGATCAATTTACAATAAACAAAAAGCGCTTGACTTGTTCGCCCAATGTCAGAGCCCCTTGCGGCGTCCTCAAATGCTCTTCACGCAAACAGAAAACTACGTGGCAGAGCCGAGGCGAGGAGGGGATCTTCTACATGAATCTCTTATATTTTAATCAGGCCACCAAGAGGCACCTGATCAGTATGCTGATGAGGGTGGCGAGAAGCCTATTAGTCCAGCGGCGCCCGCACGGCCGTTTGCCTTGAAGGGAACAACAACACCGTTCCAATTAGAGGCTGTGTGACTCTCCAATCCCCGTGCAGCACTTACAGGTTGCACAAGATCACACTTGCTTTGCCCAATTTAATCAGGTACAGAATAGCGGACGACGACGAAGCAGCACACGTCTGCGGGCGCACAAACACACACACACACACACACGCACACGCGTGGATGGACGCGCGTGCGTCCGTGCGCAATCTTCACACATCATTAGGTTCAGCTTTTGAGTCTCGTGGCTTTTATTACGCTGGATTGGAGAATGAAGCCATTAAAGCAATAAGCGAAGCCTCGGTAACCCTCTTACAGCCCATACTTTGCTCTGCTCCTCCTTTTACAAATTAGGACGTGTGAGGCACAACGACCTGCGCCGAGGATTATAAACCCGCAGAGATTCCTCAGATCCTAGTAAACAGAGACAAAAGTAGGATGAGATCACTCTTCTTCTTCTTCTTCTTCTTCTTTTTATGCCTTGACGAGCAAGCACCACACTGAGATCGTAACACGAAGAAGACACTGTCGATTGAATGGATGGATGTAGCAAAGGCCAAAACCTTGCATAGCATTCTCATATTAATGTAGCTTATAATCTATGTGTTGCAAGCTTGAACAACCGCTCCAGCTTTCTCTGTTTAGTCGAGAGAGAGTTCGGCATGGGTCGGAGTCAGCAGACATATCACGGTTTCCTGCAAGAGTTTTAAACAAAAATGTTCAAAATGATCCGAGGAGCAACCATCGTCTTATAAATTGTAACTTCGATCGAGTTATTTAAGCCTTTGTTCCATTGATTTACGCTGGACGTATTTGTAGACAAAGAAAGAAGACAAGAGGGTTTTGGTGTTGCTGTGACCTTTGTTTACCTTGATACCTGAAGCCGGCCCATGCCAACACCTGATACAAACCTTTAAAATCTGAAATCCTGTCAGAATGCTCAGCCTAACCTGTTTGTTTCCGGCAGCAGTCCATCAACGATGCCATGCGCTGCTCCACCTTGACCAGGATGAGTGGTAACGGGAGCGGAGGAGAGAACGGACGAATCCTCACCCACGACTTCCCCAAGACGGTTCAGACGCTGCCCTGTATGAGCCACACCGCCAGCATGGGACTGGGAACCTCCGGCATGTGATCACCACCATCTCGTCCCGCTGGGATCGACGGGATCGTCAGGGTTGGGTGGGGTGGGGCGGGGCGGGAGGGGGGTGGTGTAGGGGGGGGCAGAACGGGAGCACTAAAAACCATGGCCGTCTGGTTTTTGACCAACCTACTCTCCTGGCTGTCAATCTGCTTGACTTAAAAAAGAAAAAGGAAAAAAAAGACGAAAATAATTAAGACTTGAACTTACTGCCAAAATGCACTCTCCAGACCGCTCCCAAATAAACTATGAACAGCAACTCCACGTTTTTTTTTTTAAATAAAAGGATTTTTAAAAAAAAAAAAAAAAAGAAACAAAGAAATGTGCTGCAATAAAAAATAAAGAAAAGCCGTCAACGGGGCGTGATTTTGACATTTTTTACAGTGTTCATCTGTGTGGAATTGAAAAAAAAGGACTTATTCTTCAGTGTGACGACTGCGCTGTGCCATTTTGATGGAGCTGTTGACCTTCGTCTGTGTGTGCAATACTCTCACCTCCACTGCTGGCCGGATGCTTTCCGACCGGCCGGCGGGATGCGTCTTTTGCACGGATCGGACGTGGGAGGGAGGCGGACACTTGTGACTGCTCTTACATTGTTTTTGGGGACATTTGCCCTTCCCGTTCACTCCCTTTTTCACAAACACTCCATTTTGGAAGAGAAGATTGCTTTGTTAAGCAGTTTTTATGATAAAGTGCTATGGTTTACACTGCTGTGATAGCATAGAGCCTTGATGGAAAAGGTCCGAGTTCTGGCCCGGTGAAGATGACTTGCTGAGGGACTCGGCTACAATGAACAAGCGTTGCTGCTACACCTCATTTCACTCCTCTTGCCTCGTCTTGCTGCCGTATTATCATTTGACCCAAATACACACAGACACAAAGACAGGCGAAAGTATTCGCCCCCGCTTGGCTTTTTTTTTGTGTTTTTCTGCCTCACAACCTGGAATTAAACTGGATTATTTTAAGGAATGCATCATTTTGTTTACAACTTTGAACATCTTCCCCTGGGATTTTTGCCCATTCCTCAAGGCAAATGTGCTCTGGCTCCTTCAACTTAGATAGTTCTCAATTGGATCAAGGTCCAGGCTTTGATTAGGCCATTCCAATACATTCACACGTTTCCTCTTAAATCGTACTACTGTTGCTTTAGCAGTACGCTTTGAGCCATTGTCCTGTTGGAAGGTGAACCTTAATTTTGAGCCAGAGATGGTGGTTTGCTTGGTAACTGAAAAGTTTAATTTCGGTCTCGTCTGACCAAAGTCAGGGAGTCTCCCTCCTGCCTTTTGGCAAACTTAAGACAGTGACAGTGGTAGGAGTTCATCTTGTAATCTGTGGGTTCGAATCTCTGCTCCGTTTGCCTCACCCACCTTGTCCGTCGGTGGCGGTCAGTCTTAAATTCATTACAAATGTAACGTCTGAATTGGTTGCACCTTTTAGAGGCTTCATAGCAAAAGGAGTGAAAAGATGTGCACAAGCCAATTATCAGTTTTTATCTCAAAAATATGTTTTAAGATTAACATAAAACATTTAAATACAGGTTGTAATGTAACAAAACACACACACACACAAAAATGCCAAGAGCGGTGAATACTTTCGCAAGCCGCTGTAAACTCCACTCCTGTCGCTTCTTGGTCGTTGTTTGGGCGGTTTGTGGTTAAATTCAGAGACGTCTATCTTGAAGGGGGAAACCATCAGTTTTCAGCTACGCCTAGCACAGAGGGACCTTACACTGTATTCTATTGTTGGAAAATTCATAGCATATCCTGTATAAAGCGGACTGAGAACATCTTCCTTGTATTATTATGGCCGCATCGTTCAGCCACTCCCGGTGTGTTTTCAGCTGTATGCAGTTTTAATGAAACTGGCAGCATGCACGGTTTATTGAGACGGGCATATCCCCTGCAGATTGTGCGTGGCCTATAAAAGGAAGGTTGGCCTCATCTGTCTTTGCTGTCGGTAAGCTAATAGTGGAAAGAGGCGGAACTGACACAGTTTGACTGACTGACTGTGTTTCTATGGGGGTAAAGCATTTTGGAGTCACTGTGTGGAGAAAAGAAACATGGATGTACGTTAGAGGACGGCAGAGTTAACAAAGGCATCTCAGGCTGGGGAACTTCCAGGAAAATCAATGCTTTGTTATATATTTTTGCATTTGTTGGTTTAGTTTATACACCCAATGTTAAATTATCAATACAACCTAAAATTCTCCCGTTGTGTTCTCGGCTGTACAGACCACTTTGTGTGGCTTTTCTCTGGGCCTTACAGTTTCTTCCCACAGTCCAAAATCAGGCCAAGATTGTTGCACTTCACAAATCCGGTTCAACAGTTTGAATTCAACGTATTTACATGCAGAATCACAAAGCTTGAGTTGTGTGGACTGAATCTTTTTAAGTAGTTTCAAAGTTTAGAATTTTTTGGTGGGGGTGGGGGGGGGGGGGGCATCGAATGCTCAATACAAAACCAATGTTTTAACAATATTCTCATTTGCTCACACTGAGCACCCGAGAAGAAGTCAGATATTAATGAGGATTAATGTTTTGCTAGCTGTGCTTGAATGATCTGATCATTTTAGACGTGTGCACTTTTTTTTTTTTTTTCTATTATTGGCAGTGGGCAGAGTAGAAGGTGTGATCACAGCTTTTCTCGGGGCAGCATCTCATCTGAAATGCGCTGACAGTTGTTGAGCCGTTTCCCTTCAGATCACTGTCAGTCAAATTTTAAAAAGACATGGATACAGCTTTCATAAATATGTCTTTATATATAAGGGGCAGTAATGTTGTTCTGTTTTATTTTTTGGTTGTTTTTTTTTTTGCATTTGTGATGTCTCTAGGTAAGTATTGATGGATTTTCACATATTCCATCCTCTCATGGAGCAAGAGTGTCCTAACATCTGCTGAAATACAAGCTCATAAATTACAACAATGCCCCAAACATGGTCTAGAAGGTAAATCTCTGTATGTAACATAGCATTCTTAAGCCTCATTAGGTTTACTTCCTGCTCATAAATAATGATGAGAATCCACTTGGAAAAAAAAGCAAGCTCCATCCAAGTGATCTTTTTTGTACCAACCTGGACCAGAAACAAATACTTGAGATTATTTTAGCCAGTGCTACCATGGATACGATATTGGGCAATGTGAGATTATCTAAGACAGCAAAGCAACATTTTCTACTTCTGCTAAGCATATTTTAATTATTACAGTTCTGCTATGGAGTGATACCACTGCAAAAAGTTGAAGTCGACTTCTAAGCAAGGACGCTACTCAAACCTTATAAATATAGACACTCGCTTCAAAATCCTTTAAAAGTTTACTTTTATCAAAAAAGCAAGACTGCAAATAAGTTTCTTTACACAAAAGCCAGGAGGGGGCGGGGGGATAATAATTCGAGCTTCATCTCTGCATTTTACATCCTTCTTCTTTTGTTCTTTTTATTTTTTCTCTGTTCAGCTTACTGCAACATTATGTATCTGCACCGTATTTAGATGCTGAAAAAGTACGAGGAAATTCTTAATGAAGCAAATGTGTTGAAAACAGATCGATTAAATCGCGCCACCGTCACTCAGACTTGGTATCTGTGAGCTTAAAAGTGAGAGATGTGTGATTTCTATTCCTCTGAGGTGACTGAAAGGTTACTTGGAATGGGAGTTTTTCTGCTGCTGGAAACCCCAGGTGAGCCTTAGTTTATGAACCGCACATTCGAATTGACCTCTCATTTCAAAGGCCAGGCGCCTGTATGAAGGCAGCGCTCCTTGAGTGTGTGTGCGTGTGTGAGTGTGTGAGTGAGGGGGGGAAAAAAAAAAAAAAGAAAATAACATGGAACCAAAATCTAATGTATGACTTACTCTGGGCTAGACAACTGGGCAGTCGGAGTTTATCCAAGTCATACATGTCTCCTGGTATTCTGTATATAAAATGATTTTTCTCTTTACTAGTGAAAAATGTTTGTTCTCTCTGAAGTCATACGTCAGCGTGCCAGAATTAGTTTACAGCAGTGCGAGTACCTTTTGTTTTCCTTCCTCCCTTTGTCCGTCTTCTTTTCATTTTTAGGTTGTTGATAGTACACAGCACAGCTCTCTTCAGAAGAGGCAATATGTTTTATAAACCAGAAAAAAAAAAGATTTCTAAAGAAAAAAGAAGAAAAAAAAATGAAACAAATTATTCAAAACAGACTCTGTGTTTTTACTGTAAAGGGGTTGGGATGCTAGCAACGTGGCACTTTGAAAAGTATATTTAAAAAAAAAATCATACACACACACACACACACACGCACACTGCTGTTGAATAATCTGTAGATGCTAATGATGTTTAAATCCAGGTTTCTGGTTGATTTTTTTTTTTTTTCTGTTTTCAAAAAGGCACTTCTGGACGGTATTTGAAGTGTTTTAAATGTAACGATGTGGATATTTCTTTTTGTGTTTGTTTTAGTCATTTTTACAGTATTTTACTACTGGAATCTACAGTTTGTTCACCAGACATGGAATTATTTTAGTTTTTTTTGTTTTTTTTTCACTTTGTTTCGTTTTTAATGAAAGGTTTTCACTGAGCTTATTTAAAACAGTGGTGAATAACTTGGTAAATAGTTTAAAATATATGTATAAGAGAATAGAACTATCATGGGTCAGATTTTTGAGAAATAAACATTTTTTCTAACCAAAGTGTCCTGGAACAAAGTCATCATGCTTTTGTAACTGAATAAAGGAATAACTACGGATGGTTGTCCAGCTGTTTTCTTACTTGGTGATCCAGAATCTCCTGCGCTGTCGTTAGGTTCTGCTTTTGCGATCCGCTTGCGTTCACACTGCCTTCCAACCGTATCAGAGTTCACTTCAACCGGACCGAGACCTAGGTTTTTAGGCAGATCAGAGTCTGCCTTTCTAGTCCGTGTTGGAATTCAAATTTGCATTGACACTCTCCAAACGAGTCAGATGTTCTAGACAAACAAATTAGAGTCTGATTAAAGTGGACTAAACAGGGCTGGTGTGAATACAGACCACTGCACTGAACCCGACTGAAAACCTCATGGTTATTCCTCCAAATATTGATTTCTGAACTCTTCCTGAGTTAAAACATTAGTGTTGTTGTTTCTAAATAAATATGAACTTGTTTTCTTTGCATTATTTTTTAGGTCTGAAAGCGCTGCATCTTTTTTGTTATTTTGACCATTTTTCATTTTCTGCCATTTTTGCTTGGAATTTCAGAGACATGTCGTCAGTAGTTTGTAGAATATAAGAACAATGTTCATTTTACTCAAACTTACCTATAAGAAGTAAAATCAGAAAAAAACTGATCATTTTAAGTGGCCTCTTAATTTTTTCCAGGGCTGTAAGTCGAGGCAGACATGCAGCATTCAGTAATTCGGCATGTATTTGGCATATTTTCAATCAAATGGGCATAAATAAAATCCAGAACAATCAGCTGCCTCTAGAGGTCACCTCGTTAATGAAAACAGTTCAACTTAGTGTAACATATTCTCAGTGTGTATATATGTACATACAGCTGTCATGTGAAAGCCTCAGAGGTTTATTAGAGAACATGAGTGAAGAAACAGCTTTACAAAGCATGAAGGAGAAGTGTAAATCAGGGTTTGGTTGTATAATAGCCCAAATTTTGAATTTCTCACACTAATCATTGGAACAAAATCACAAATTCTGTTTTACCCAGGCCCTCTGCTGAGTCAAGAGGAAGATTTAACCGCTTGGCCCACAAGCAAAACACTTTGCTGACACATGACAAAATGTGAGTATGAATACTTCTTAATATAATGCTTACATGGCCAGCATGCGATCACCTTTTGACAATCAAACCCCGGCCTTGTTTTCCTGATGAACATTTTATCCGGTCAAAATTACATCGCCAAAATTGTTTTCTCTAATATTCTTTCATAAAAAGGTAAGTCAGCATAATGGTGGCAGAATTTCTTTCATATTTGCACCAAATAAAAACACAGACAAGTTGAGTTTTAATTAAACCAGCTGAAGTTGCAGGATAAATCATGATTCAACGTGACATGAGTTCACATAGAGCTCTTTTTGATGACAGACATTGGTTTGAAAACTTTTCTGATGCAGAGACGATTTCTGAGCAACGTGTTTTTATGTTGCTATCCAGGGATCTTTTGAATTTATTTCAAATTCCCAAATCTCTTGAACACATTCGTGGAGATAAAAAAAAAAAAAAAGCCATTACAGGCGTTTCACCTTGACCAGTTCTACGCATGTCAACACCTGTCGCCATTCATTAAAAAAACACACTTTCGCAAATTCAACACATCGTCAGCCTGCTCAAAATGTTCATTCGACGTTTGTACTCGAACATCAATTCAGTGCAGCTCTGTGGTTCCAAACCGAACTCATCTGCGGCAAGAGAGAGTGACGCGGGTGCTGCAAAACAACAAATCCTCATTGTTTGATGATTAAAAATAAAGTCTGCCTCCCCATCCACATCTCAGCTGTACGTTCACGCATCCAAATCCCCCATGAGCTCAAAAGGTTGGGGGAACGAAAAATAGCTTTCATTACCTGGAAGAAACATTTCATGCAACAGTTCTCCCTCATATCATTGTTCAGCCCAGAAGCAGGATTTATGATTATTATTATTATAATGAGGATACAAATATAGAGAGTGTCACAGTGAGCCGCGTTGCTTATCACCGTGTGCAGTAGCGCGCGCGGGCGCGCGCATGT